ATTTGTGCACAGAATTGTTTTGCATACAGGTTATGGGGCGAGATCAGCGCTAAAATTGTTTTTATTTTTATAATGCATTGATATATTCCTAGAGGCCTGCAATGAGAAGCACGGAGTGGCAAATCTGAAGAGAGAACTCTCAAGTTCGAATTCAGAAGTGAGAAGTGGAAATGTGAAGTTGGAAGTGAGAAGTCGGAAATTGGATGTAAGAATTTGGAAGTAAGAATTTGGAATTGAGAATTGAGAAGTCGGAAATTGGAAGTCAGAAGTCGGAAATTTAAAATGTGTAATTATAGGAGTCTTGATATGTATATACATAAATATATAAGTTAAAGCATAAAATCTGAGATTTCGGAGAAAACATGAAACATAACATTATATTTGTACCCTTAAAATAAAATGAAAGTCAATTTCATGATTAATAATATATAAAATAATAATTAATGTCATTTAGTGGAACCAACGATCCTTGCGCTTTCTCCATACCTTATGTCCGAAAAAAATAAGTGAATGTCAGTGTCCGTCAAGTATAGGTGAGACTTATGATTAATCTGTTTGGGTAGCAGTTGTCACTTATATTTGACTCACAAGAATAAATGAATTACCAGGGAACGTGTCACAAAGTAGAATAATCAGGGCATATAATCAGGCAACTTGTCCCCAGATAGATCATAATCAGTGGACTTGTCTTAACTAAGGTAGATAACAATGAATGGTCCATGGGTAGAATATTATTAGGTCACTTTCCAAGGTAGAATATATTCAAATGCAAAGACAATAAAAATATGGTTAGACAATGCCAGTCATAATGCAAAGATAATATAAAAATAAAAATAATTTTAGCGCTGATCTCACCCCATAACCTGTATGCAAAACAATTCTGTGCACAAATGATAGAAACTACTATGAAGCATCATTACTACAGATGACGGTACTTTTTGCTCCTGCAGTTTGCAACAATAATAACTCGGAAGTTAGAAGTTGGAAGTCGGAACTCGGAAGTTAGAAGACGGAACTCGGAAGTTGGTACTGTGAAGTAAGAAGGCCTCTCTCGGCTTTCGTAGAACACTTATTACCGGAAGAAACATATTAATTATCGACCAAATTCTAACTATTGTCATGCACTCCCTCTTTAAGAGATGGTGCCAAAATAAATGCGACCCAAGAACGAATTTTGCTTTTTTTATGTCCCAGCTCAAAACAACTATTAATAATGAACAACATCTAAATTATGAAAAGGCAAGTTAGAAATGGACAGCATCACTAATTGATATGGTTGAACCCGTATAGACTGTTCTTCTGCAGTGTATACAAATATTATTATTTAAGTAAACTGATAAGACGATAATAAAAACAAATAAATAAATAAACACCGTGCAAAGAAAATGTTGGCGAAGCTGATTGTATATTTAACCTAAGTCATTGTCATGACAACCCCGCAGTTAAATTTCGAAAACATTTAGTAAATGTTCCGAGAATGTCTCATATCTAAGCAGATTATCGCAACAGCCAACCAAAAAATCAAGAACAAACTGATTACAAATTGTGAAAAGCGATTGCAAAGTTGGTAGTTTCATTCGGGATTGTTACCTGTGATATCATATCAACAAATCCAATAGTTAAAAGTTCGAAAATGTGAATAAATGTGTCGTTAATTGGTGTTAAATTACCGCAGTGTTACTCCAAGTAGGTAGAGGTCATATGTCAAATATAGAAGGTACATGTGAAAGCGATATCGTTTTAAAAACATTCAAAAACATGAAATAGCCGCCAATTCGGCTGAATTTCAAATAATCGATGCAGCTGTGTGGTTAGGTGATCGGTTAGTACTTGCATGGGAGACTGCTTGCCTAAACGAGTTGTTGAATTTATTTGTTTTATTTCATCACGCATATCGAAAATATATAAGGCAACGTTCCTGCAAAAAAAGTCTACCTCGCAATTCAGACTAATCTTAATATAAAATGCTTCAGAGAACCCCACGTGTGATTCGGTGATTTGATGACACCCTAAAGTTACAAAAAAACAATTATACATATTTCTTAACACGTCAATTACCTCAAACAAATTTAATGTATTCATCTCTTGATTTGACACTGCGAGTAGGTCATGTGACGTTATGAGCTGTGTTATCTTCAGTTCGTAGATACTACAAGCCCATGGCGTGATTCGATCAACCAACTCCACGAACAACTGATATCAGATGATAACCTATACTATACCTGAATACAACAAACTATCCGTGAATATGGTACACTGTCCCTGAATAAGGCAGACTATTCTAGAAACGATAAAGTGTCTCTGTATACGATACCCTGCCCTGCTCCCGGCCTGAATACGATAAAGGATTTGAATGCTGTACACCTGAATTTGATAGACTATCCCTCAATAACGTGTATCACCACCAACATTGGCGCGTTCCAGGTTATTGTTACATTCGAACCAATTCCTTTGTTTACATTGGAGGCAGAAAGTGGAATAGCGCGCGTTCAAAATATTAAAACGTTCGCACGGCGCAAAACGTTTTTTCGTTCTCATTCCGGCCTATAATCTCTCAATAAAGTCTGACTACAAGCAGAAAAAATAAAAATGTATAATACTAAGGTTACCACGAGAATAGAACAAAGTATACGCGTCGGTCGATACAATCATCGTACTGCCTTCTTGTGAAAAAACACAAAAACAATTACCCATTTTTGTAATACCCTATTTATGTACTTAGAAAACGGGTTTTAATAATAAACCGAAATTTACACACCAAATCTACGCACACTGATACCCATAAGTTAAACAAAAAAATGCTATGTATAATGTTACTCAACCAGCTATTTCTGTCCAAAAAATATGTTGTCTTGTATTTTTCTCTCTCACTACCTTAATATGCTACTAGACTAACCAAGCCATAGATTTGATCAAATTAGCTCGAAGCAGAATTGGTGTGTCAATACTGCTTCTCGCAACACCGCGTGTTATCTCCGGTGTTAGCCGTGAATCGCGAGACAGTATTACGTATGTAAGGTGAACATAGATAAAAATCTAGCATTCGTATCCTATTACACAAATACACTCTTCTTCTAGAATTCTCAAATATAAATCAACATCTCTTGACTACCATGCCATTATCCAATGTACTCAACTGGGTCACATTGGTCATGTTGTTATGTATTTTGTTCATCGAAATTAATGTTTTTACGGCACGCTAGGTCAGAAACTGGTTCTCCAAGGAGTCCGCGCTCAAAATATTCATCTGCATACCTAGGTTCGGTTCCCAACTGCTTATAGCAAATGATTAAAGGGTGGTAGTCGTCGCATGTGAGAGATATATGGGTCTCATGTAAACAAAGATGGCGACTTACAAACTGTACAAACTGAGACCAAGCTTTAATTAAGTATTTTTTAGGTGATTGAAATGCATCGAAGGAGTCACGCCAGGGTCAAACCTCATACTTGTGATTTTCATTAGAATAGCGCATTTGGATCAACACAAATGTCGCACATGCACAGCGCAACGACCACCTACCTTTAAAAATGATTGCACATACAGGCAAAGTGTGAAGTGAAGACGCTGACGTTTAATCTCATATGAAACAATGCAGTTTATTAAATACACACATTGTAAAATACTGTATAATATAGTACCCAAAGTTATATAGATTGGGAGTGACACAAACCACAAGACAATACATAGTGTCCAAGATTCAATTTAGATATTATCTGCATCTGTGGTATCGAATTTTCTTGCAGTTCTGCCGTGTCAGGTTTCCGTTTACTTGGAATCCAGAATACGAAACTTTCTATGCATCGACAATTTGCATACGACGAGGAAGCAAGAATTATCTTGTTGCACATTACAGAGAAGAGTAATCCGCAGTCAGTTTGAGGCAAACTGCGCCATCAACAGAAAAGAGTTGTAAATTAATATGCAGGGCTATGTCTGTTCACACAGCAGTCAACATACGAACCCACGGTAATGTTTCGGACGAAATCAAAGATGGTCGCCGGCAAATCATCGATAAATACTTTCACGCCACATCACAAACATCAGCCACATTAAAACATCCTGACATTTCATTGGTGTAAACACATCTAAAAAAATCTCAATAATGTAATCCACCCTGCTTTCCAGTCACCCAACGCTATATCTGAGAACACTTTTAAAATTACCAGAACTCTTTTTGTTTGCAGACAATGAAAGCCGGAAGTTGATTATTGGTCTCTTCCAATCTGTGTGACACACCTTCTCTCCTACCTGCCTAGTTCATATACATAACAAGGGTAACCATCAGCTGCATTGCGACTACAAGCTAATCAGAGTGGACATATCACTGAAGCCATATGTTACTGCACACACGTCTGACACACTCTGACCTTACATGACCTGCATAATAATCATAAGCAGTGTGTATTACTTATTAGCTATTAGCTGCATTGCAACATGATGTTATACTTTTACGAAATACAGCATTTTTTTCACTAAAAGTGTTAAGAAAAAGACATCATTTGGTCTGAATATATACAATAAATACATCACTAATATGACATAATTATTATGGTTACAACAATGAAAAATCACGAAAAAAATAAAATGATGGCACGTATAACGTATACAATAAATATAGAAACAACTACTCAATTCATCAGTACGTGTTCTTCTTGTCTATGAATTGACGAAAAAGAGCCTAGGCCCTAATATACACATTTAGAAAATATTGCTTGTTACAGTGAAATGCACAATACTAAGACTTTGATTTTTAATTGTTCAGTTGAATTCCAACATCTAAACAATTTACATTTGTATATTTATAAAACGTTTGCAAGGACTTCAGCTTTTATGCATTACATGCGTCCCAACTGCCCTATATTTGAAAGACTTTAAAATACACAAATTCAAATATTATTATTACAAATATGAGATGGGCGAACGTTACCAGGGCGTGGGAAACATTCACAAAGTAATCACTCCTTGAGTGAGTCCGATGTTTCGTCACGTTTCCATAGATCTAAATGTTCTTACTCAGTAACCAATAAGTTGTCTGGACACCTTTGCCCTGCAAATAAAGACAGAGAAAAAGGTACCAAAATTATTTAAATAAACTACATTAATATACTCTTAGTTTCGTAAACTTGAGTTTCTTTATTGCGCCCATGTTGTTGTACTCTTTTTGACCTTTGACCTCTCCACCTGATCTAAAACAGAAAGCAAATCGTTTGAGGGCGCACTATTATCTTCCTGATAATGCATCTCATTCCTATGCCATCCGGAGCAATGCAATTACGAAATGTTTTCCACAATATTTATTTATTTATAATTTCTCATAGTATATGTTATTTTAGGGTATTAACATTCTTGGTTGTTTACTGTTTTGTAAGAAATATTGCTATTTTGAACCAGTCAGCACTCGAAGGAGATGCCAACCTATGCTGACTTAAATTACTTCAATATTTATATCAACAATGCAACAGAAAATAATAACTTTTATTATGACCCCGACTTTTCGCTCGAAAGTGTAACCAGGTCATACGAGTCGTACATGAAATCTTTCGTGTCAATATTGAATCACATATTGTGAATTTTACCTTTGACCCGAAAATATTACCTGGTTGTGTGACTCACAGGGAACGTGTGCCAAGTTTGAAGGCTCTAGTCATTTAAATCCTGTAGTTATATAACAAACGTTCATAAACCAATACTTGTGACCCCAAAATGTAGCAAGGTCTTGTGAATCTCGCGGGGAAAAAGTGTGCAAAAGTTGACGACTATTGCTAATTTTTCAATGTAGTTATAGTATTTAAAGTACATAAACACATGCTTTGACCTTGATCTTATCTTTACGCCCCCCCCCCCCACACACACGTACGTCCTGGACGCTTCGTAAATCACGGTAATAGCTTAACATAATAGAGTTTACCTTCATGTGAACCTCTCCTCTTTCCTCGCATACGTATCCACCAAGTATACTTAATGCTTCCACTACATTTTTACTGACGTGAATACGGAGAGCTGTAATGCAGACAACGCATATTTAGAGAATATTCACGCTAAAACTTTGAAACATCTGATACTGATTCTTCGTTAGTATGTTATTATGACCTACCTTCGCCATTTGATTCGAATCTAGACGCAGTATTGACTGTATCGCCAAACAAACAGTACCGAGGCATCGCTATTCCGACTACACCAGCCACACACGGACCTACAAAACAAAGAAAATACTCAATAATAAAATGATAAATAAAATAAAGTTTAATAAAATGTTTTCCTTCGTAACTTGGTTGCATTTTTGACTTCAATACTGATAATCGCAAAGTCGTAATCTGTGCATGGTGTTACCCCTTATTAGTCAGACATTAGGTATGTTCACGATGCAAAGCGGCATATACGCGAATTAGTACAACATCAACTAAATTACAGCTTATAAAATACCACCTATACTTTGTATTTCCTAAGTTCCTGACCAACGGAACAACGTGAACACGTGACAGTATGGCTGCCTCGAACGAAAGAATTGTAGTTATTATTTAATGTCATTCATTTACAAATTTGGTAATGTCATACAAAGAAAGGTATCAAATATGAGTACGACCATTTTATATTTTTAATCTGCAGTACACTGAGTGACATCTACGTACAATGAAGTAAAGGTGTGAATTGTTGGCAAATAAAAATAGACATAAACCTGTCTTGAGATAAACAGATAGTTATGCGTTCCTCGTGTGTATATTCCTCATGTGCATGATATTGAGAGAGGTTACTTACTTGAATTGAATACATTGAATACGTTTACATTTTGATTTCGATGATAGTTTGTTTGTGGAACGTCATTATATGATATTCTAACGTAATTATATAGTGGCAGTGCACCATATTTCTGTACACGTTCAATATTATATGAGGTTAATCGCCTTTCCTCTTATGCCTGGTGCCTCTCCCAGAATTGATCGGGATATTGTAAAGAATGACCTACGTTCACGTAAAATATCTCTTCTCAAATTGAAGCCGTGGCCTGTCACACCGCCAGTGACGTCATTAACAGGAGTATCGCTGATACTGTCCTTAACCTCAGTTGCTGCAGTTGAGCAGACGCGCCCGATCTCCAATAACACGTACTTCAAGGCGACGATCCAATAGTCTATTCGTTAACTATTCCACAACAACGGGGTATATGCGTTCATCTACAATTTTTTCCAATAAATTACCGAGGCTGAACTGCCGTTTTAGGTTCTCCATTCATTTAGCGCTTTGCACTCAACCTCACGTAATACAGACTTTATACATAATAATAAAGGTGGACTGTATAATAACCGTATAATCCAACCATAAAAACATGTTGGCATACCACACAATTATTTCAGGATATAATATAATGACATCACACAAACATAACGATGTTATGCTAACATATGACATGTTGACATTTAAGATGTTTCATAACCCTATAATCTTGTTAATGTATAATATAATGACATTACACCAATATATAATATTGTGTGACAATAATATAAAGTTGAACAGTCGGATTTAAAAAAATACAGCACGAAATTTGATAAAATGCGACTTCACAGGGCATCAAATTGAAAATACTGTAGACATCTGAAACGAGTTTATGTGCTCACCTGTATGTATACCTATACGTAGTTTTAATTTTTCATTCGGCATGTGTGGAATTCTGAAGGACTGAATGGAACTTAATAACGCCAATGCCATAGTGGCTATTTCACCAGCATGTTTATTTCCATTACGTATCGGTAATCCACTGACCACCATGTATGCATCGCCAATAGTTTCTACCTAATTAAATCAGAAATGCGGAAGTCTCAGTCTGTAGCATGTATATACTGTAATGTGAAGTGTTATTAGTTTAACATGTTATGTTTTTGGCCATTGTTAGCGGTAACATCAATTAGGATCAACTTGTCTTACCTTATACACGTCACAATCTTCGATGATACCATCGAATAAAGAATATAACGAATTCAGTAATTGAACTACCTGTAGATGGAATCAACATATTTATTAATATTAATATTAATATTTCGAGCATCTGTTTATTATGATACATATTATATGAAAGGTTAGCAAAGTGTTTGTATCTGAAAACAACGAATAAGAGGTTAGTAAGTAATAATTACACTCAAATCAAATGAATTCACAAAAGTAACAAATGAAGACAACAACAACTTTGACAATGCTGCATTAGACTTGTTAATACTTACAATCGACCACACTGTTTGCAGAATACGGGAATTATTTGAAAAAACGCAGAGCCTGACCGGAAAAGGGGTTGTGGTACACGGTTGAAACTGTACATACATTTATTTCAACCATCTTGTGTATAAGAAGTACATTTTTATTTGATATGTCAAACGCTTTATTTGGGTTTGAGGGTTATTGACAAATAAATGACGTAAACTTCATTTATCTCCACCACACGGCGTATATGCCAACCCCCAGAGATTAGCCTGTGAGTGCTTCAGTGTGACTCAAATACAAGTTCAATTAATACGTGTAAGGATGATACCCAGATTCGAGGTCACATATTTGTTCACATGATATTTGACAATACACATATTACATATATTGTATGTTAGCCCTAATCCTATGTTTTATGAAACTTGTACAAGTAAGCACATTTTTTTCTTTGAAAATATGCTTTAATGCGTGTTTTTTTTTATTCAAAATAAACGTCCGAAAACTAGTCAATATTTAATACCAGCATCCTGTCAACAACAGCGACAATGTCTGATTTTTTTCCTGTGTATGTTTGTTTACTTGAAACTAGTGTTCGAAGTTGTACTTTCAGAATTCATGCGTTACAAAACGTGACAACTTTCCTATGTAAACAAGGAATCTAGTGGTTAAGCTATCAGTGTTGTGTAGCTAATCAAACGTGCTTAGCATAATCTTAAAGATAATATAATATAAATACAAAAACGCTAGTCAACCTTGTTGACATTATTTATGTTATCACCTATTTTTAGCATTTCTAAAAATAATTCAAAATAAAATGTCGTACCACTGTTGAGCTAATAACACAAAAGTGTCGAATCTTAAGTATATTATGATATTTTTGAATAATATAGTTATCTTTTTCAAAATGTCCATTTACTAAATATTGTTGAAAGCCTTGACATAGTGAAACACATTTAAACATATCACATTGTCATTTGTTTACATGAGCGTCACGTGACTGACTAAATGCCAGATTTAATAATTTAGTCAAAACGACTTAATCCACGTTTTCCAAAAATATTTCTGGCTGAAATTTACGAAATTTACTTAGTCCATGTGCTTTTCTGAATGTTTTCAGAAAAGTGTTTATAGCCATTCTCGGCATTGTATTTCAAAGCCCAGACATGTTTACATCTTTCATTGTCTTGTAAATTATTGGAGTAATTTTATAACATGTTGCACTAACGTAGTAGATTTGTCAGGTTCCAGTGAGATAGTTTAATACATTTTTCAAAATTGAAAAAAAGAACAAAAAGTGTAGCGACTACTAAACACGAATGATGTGTTCTAATATTACAACAAAAACATATAAGGCCAAACTTTTTTCTTCCTTGTTTCGCGAGTTTTTAAAAGGCAGGTGGAAAAAAACTAAAATTAATTCTTTTTTTTTCTATTAGATTTGTGTAATTCTCAAAGAATTGTAAGTGAGATCATTGATCGGAGAGAAGAAATGAAATAAAATGTTATTCTATGTATAACCTTGTTTCTCATCTGCGCGAGACTTCGGTACTTTGATTGTGATACTCCCACGAAAATGCAATTTTGATTTGTTATGCGGCGGGCGGTAAAAAATGAAGATAAAAATAATATTTTTTTAGCATTTCTTTGCGCTTACAAGTCGGCGGGCGCGAGAAATTACGATGAAATAAAATTATATTTTTATTTCATTCTCGGTTCCTGTTCATTCGGCGGGTTCGCGAAACAAGTGATAATAAAAGTCTGGCCTAAATGATGTAATTCATTACCCAGCCTGCTACAGCAGAACATATTAATCTATTACTAACCCTGGCTAGGATATGTGTGTGTAATGTAGTCTCGTGTATGATATGGTCGTATTTGTGTTTAATGTTTGGGGTATATAATGTTTATTGTAATATGTCACTATTATAATATTCACCTATGTTAAGTGTCCTAGTATATATTGATACTATGGCCATAGTGGAAATCATACATACGTAGATGAAAATAACGAATTTAATGATTCCACCACAATATAAGTTACCACAATACAGCTTACATTGTGTCTATAATTATACATACAGTATTACATACCTGCATTGGATCACTTGACGCGGATATTGCAGTGAAACCTACAATATCTGAAAAGAATATAGTAACAGAATCAAATGTCTCTGCTTCTACTGGGTAGCCATTTTTTAGTCCCTCTGCCACTGATCTGTACGAAAAAAGACACAACAAAATAAACTGAGGGCGCATTACATTTGTCACGTTGCTTATATGCAGTTTTAAATTTGCACATTTGAGATTCGACTAAAAGTGCAGTGCAAATTATGCTTGCGATGTCACGTGATATATATTAATTTATTTATTATCTAAACACAGGTTCCTTATGTAGATGTATGTAGATTGACCGAATACTGTAGAAGGTTATTTTTTTCTCCAGCGTGTTATTTAAGGATAACACCTTGCGACAATTTGCAAATTTAATTACAAAATCAACGTTAAATTGATTTATTTCCAAAACAAATATAGTAAAATGGTTGCTCACCGTGGCAACATGCGGTATAGTAGTTGTTCCGTTCTCTTCTTTTCTTCCATTAACTGCGACGTTCGGTCAGCGACGATATCTTCTAGATTGTGTGAATATTTTTCCAACATTGTCACCATATTGTCCATTATATTTGAACTGCTAGAAAAAAAAATAGATGAACAATGCAACCCAAAGCAACAAACTTACAGACAATGAACAAAATATATTAACCAAAACAGAAATGAAGAATATATCAACTACACAAAAAATGGTACTCACGTGTTCGGATTGATATCACGTAAGACGCGCCTTATGTATGACACGTCACATCTTTTTTCCGGTACGGGATGCCAACATCGCTGTACCAATTCATTTATATCTTGTGTACGGGATCCACTCACTAATTCGGGACGGCAGACCGTAGTTACGTTAATATTCTTTACCCGTTCAACAATTTCTGTAATGTTAATAACAGATGGGTCAGATGTGCAGAACAAACCACACAATACCACTACGGAATATGAAACGGCAGTAAATAAGTAGTAATCTATTATTATCATTTGACAAACCTCGTGGTGACAAAGAAGTGTTACCATATACCCCATCTCTGTACACTATCTCGTGTAAGATAATGCCAATACTATAGATGTCACCCTTTTGCGACATTTTCACAGTTGAATTAACAATATCTTTATCCGGTAAATGTTCAGGAGCAGTCCACAACAATCCTAGAAGGAAAACACGGGAAAGAACATTAGTATGGGAAACGCCACAGGATAGAGGGTGTTGTGTGGCTTTGCTATTGTTACTATGATGCCTTTTTCGTAATGACACATAACTTTTTTGTGAGTTCCTATTGTGTATTCGTTTGATTCAACGTCTGCCTCTCGCGTATTAATCCGTGTTATGTTTCTGTTCTTACCTTGATATGCAGCTTCTTCACTGACTTCTAAACGGTATCTTTTATAATTTTTAAATTCCCAAAGACCAAAGTCTGTTAATTTTACAACCCAACGTCCATCTAATAAACAATTCGACGATTTTAAATTACCATGTACAGTCAATGGACTTTTATGAAGGAATTGAACACCCTGTGAAAAAAAAATATTATCACATCATATGCATATATAATTTGTGTCTGCATTAATAAAGATAGTACATGATAATATGATCTTAACCATTTTTGGCATGTACTACCAAACAACACAAATAAATATTTGTATTCAAATGTATGCCTACTTAATAGACTGCGATCTCTGATTTTATTTGAAGTATAAACTAATTTCTGGTTAGATATGCATAATGTTTGAACATTTGTAACTACTGCTACAAGCTATTCAAATGTGTCTTACCGCAGCAATGTCATTTGCAAACGACACTTTAAACAACCAATCCAAGGCAATCTCATCATTTTCCAGAACATCCTAAAAAAAGAGCGTCCATAACAAAACGTCATATATATAATATTGACAATATTGTCAACTAGATAATATATATTATTATACATCTGTCGCCGTAACTCCATTAGTTAGAGCGTGCTGTAATTTTGTGGTATTGCACTGGGTATTTTCATCCTACCATATTAGGAAATGCGATTACGCACGTGAGATCCTCTAATAATAAAAACAAACATAACAGCCCCCAGGGTTTGACCGGACTCAACATAAATAAATTAAATAAATAAATAAATCTGTTCTAAACGGAATTCTCATGATGTATCCGTTGAAGGAAAATATGTATAATAATAAGGTTATTACGAGGATATCGAAACGTATGCACTCAACATCTCCCGCTGTACTGCCTTCGTGCATACTTTTCGGTATCCTCGTAATAACCTCATATAATTCCATGGTGTTTTTTCTTAGGTTAAAGCGCGGTGGTCGTCGCACAGCGCGTGTTCGAATTTCATGTAAATAAACAATGTATTTTACACGCGTTGTATACGTCGCTATGAGTGCTACATCGAACAGGACGCAGCGTGTAATGCAAAAGAAGAACAAACCCATCAGCCAAAACTCGGTTAATGTCACTCTAAATCTTACGAGTAATATGTTTTCCAAGTTTGAAAGCAATGGCTATTTCCTTTGGTTATATAAATGTATGAACTTATACCATGAACCTCACCTTTGAACTGAAATTGTAATAGATTATGTAGTTGTGTCGTCACCGTGAGGAAGCGCTGTTCCAGCACAGACCTTTTGGCTAAAATAGCTCCGGTGCCTCTTTACACTAGTGTTTATACACGGAACTTGATAATTTTTTTCAATTTAAGTTGCTTTTTAATCACACATTTTAGTGAAATATTGTTAGTGAGTGAAATATTAATGTCACAAATAATCCCAGCTTTGAAACAACAGAAACAAACACATAATAACGATAATCAAATTTGTGTGTGAAGTTCGAAAGTACTTGCGTAATTTCCGGTTTCAACTAGTTCGAAAATAGAACGTCCTTGAACGCGATAAAATCACGCGTAGAACTCCTTCCGAACCAGACACTAGCAGCATAAACCTAGTGCAAACTTGCACAATTTGGATCCAGTTTGTTCTTACAAGTTTTCTAAGTTTCATTTATCATTATTTAGTAAACTCGCCCCTGAAACGATTTAATATATCCGTAAAATACGTGGCAATCGACGATTGACTTCGAAACATTCGAAATATCGAACAAACTCCCGACACTCCTGCGTGATATGCGTCAAATCAGTGTAGAAGACGCCGACCTGCAACGTCAATGCAATTATGTGGGTTGTAGAAAAAAACTGTGTTAAGTTTTTAGCCATTAGCCGCATATGGCCAAATACTGAACACACGTACTATGGCCATGACCTTTGTTCAAAAATGAACCCCATTGTTTAGTGACACGTGTGTCAAGTCCCTGGGTAATTTCCTTTGTAGGTAAATAATTAACATCATAATTCCATACTGTAACATTGATGTTTGAATCCAACATGCGCCAAGGTGTTGGGCATCGCATTGGATGTATGTGTGTAAACTGCACGGGGAATTCGGGAACACGGGGAGCATGTGTGCCACTTTGATGGCTCTGGCTATATTGTGTTCCACCTGTGTCCAATCATGTGTACATTTGTGTCAAGTTCTATATAGCTGTCCATTCGCGTTATAACACAGAAATGTTTATTCACACATACTGAACGCCCTATCTGCGCGCTGCCTCCAACGAACGCTTGTAAAATCGTACCCCGTGATTTGTCTTCTAGAATAATACATTACTGACTTTTCCAAATGTATGAAGCTATCTTTGAAAAATGTTCTGACTACATAAACGACAATACGAAATTCAAATAATATAACACTAACCTGCAGACTTCCTTTCTGGCAGTACTGTTCCACGAAACATATGTTTGGGGGATCCACACACACACCAACGAACTGATTAAGATTGTCATGGCGAATGTCACGTATCTATTTATATGGAATTAAAAGAGGATATCATAGCTTATTTTTTGATTTAGAAATGTTGAGTTTTTTTTACCATATTGTCCATTCATACAGTAATAAATAAATAAATAAATAAATAAATAAATACAATAAATACTAAAGCAATAATATAGAATATATATAATGTGCCTTTTTCAATTCCAACAACTGACTCCGTGTGATATGTACTCCCGAACGGTCAATCATCTTTATAGCAACCAATGCGCCCTGCAATGTATAAAATAAACACCAGAAAATCAACTCAAATGATACCAGTAATACGGTTTCTGATGAATGTTTTGTCCCAGGAACCCCCCCCCCCAAACACAAACAAAACAACAACACCACACCCCCCGGAAACAAGAATTGTTGACAGCATTATTTATCATTTGAAAATAGGAAATTGTAATAACCAGTAGTTTACACTCTCTAGTTAAAAATGTTATTTATATTTAGATGAACCAGTGGTATTGTGTAAAATATTTGTACACACCTGATATGTTCCAATCGCAGCGAAAACCTGTTTCTGGTATGTGTCAAGAAATCCCTCCATTGAGAGAACACTTATTGAATTTCTTCTGACTCTGTTTTCACTGGAACAACTGTCATGAAATGACTGCAATATTATAAGCATATCAGATGTAACATTATTTATATGCATTCTAGATGAAAGCTGGAATAAAAGAAGACAGTTTTACCCTAGCAATGTGGTATACATAGTTGTATTACCGACGGGGTATCTGGGAGATATTTGTGTGTGTTGAAACATTGGTATTTGCTTCTAATTATATATTTATTATATATGCATGTAAGACAACATTTAAATCAATTACACAGTGTTACAACCAATGACAGGTATTACATAAATTATTAGATCATTGTTAAAATGGTAATGGTAAAATAACCACGGTAAAGCCAGAAAAACTTCTAATTATAATTGTCCACACTGTATTAAACAATACCATAACAAAGTTACAATAATTGTTTGATGCATTTATTGGTTATGGAAAGCAAAACAATAGAACCATAGCTCGAGCCATTTCATACAGTGCAATCTTTGCAATCAGGTGATAATGTCATGTGATCAAATCAGGATATGCAAGTGATCAGCTGACCAACTGGAAAATGATATAACCGCAGATCCAGTCAGGTTTAGCGAATTTTCCGACCTTCACGAATAGCTTTGCTCGTTCAAACCCCGTGTTTTGTAAATGCAACAACCTTGATTTATTGTTTTATTGTTTATTTTCAAAGTTTCTCATGTTTCTGTCGCTGTTGAAGTGAGTGAGTTGAATAAAATACGTTGCAATCTTGCGTTTTTGACGACGATCATATAATAGACGCACATATTCAAGTTCTATTTTTTTCTGAGACACATAAGTGATTCTTACTTTATATTATTGCACACCATTCCCATTATTTACATCGCTACACAGTCTTTTCATTCTATTAGAAACATGACGCCTTTGACTTCCTTACGGGCTAAAGTGTCTGTGTGTCATTTATTTGACACGAGTTAAAGACTATTTGCAATAAAATGCTTTGATATCGTTTGGAAAATTGGGTCATAAATCACATAGCAACGTTTATTCGATTAGTGTTGTTTGAAGCATATTTTCGAGACAATGAAATCATGCGCAAATTATAACCACTGTAATAATTATTCATTCAATACGAACGCGTTTGTTTCGTTGAAGATTGTTTTATTAGCAATTAGAAAGCCCGTTTTTTTGTAAATGCGACCACCGTGTTTTTACCACCGCGTCTTCCTCTACACGCTCGGCTAATGGTGGTTGGAATGAAATGCACCCAATGAAATCCAATGAGTTGTTATCGGTGTTGATGCGGGGGAATGAATATCCCAGGTACATAAATAATAAATCGGAATTAATAAAGCTATATAACATTTGGCGCTGCAATAAATACGAAGGATAGTAATCCTCATATAAAACAAATCAATCACGAAAAAAATCAACTAATAAAATTGCAGTGAAACTGCAAACTTCATGTGAACTTTAAAATAAGATAACTTCTGACATTCTGAATCAAATATCTTTTTTCATTCATCTATTTACCAGGTGTAACTATGGGTTCCAAAAGACGTGAGCCTCAATATTCTTCCGTTGAAATGCCTAAAGCTGTTTGAGATCACAGTGTTAATTACGATCCAGAAAATTGAAAGTTGACAATAGTATTAAAATAAGATACAACAAAAAAGAAAAAAAACATGTCATTGTACCGTATATATAAAGTTTTAGGCTACGTATGTTTCCCAGGGCATCTAATTTAAGAACCCAAGTTTCTTTGAGAACCGACGAATGGTTCTGTATATATCAATGGAACATACATTCTATGGTTGCACTAATAGTACCATAGTTTTGCCAATGGGTAAACGAAGTCAAATTTTAAAGATTCGAACATAATACGTTCGTACAGGTAATTGTAAATATTTCTGTTCTCAGAATGTCATTTTTTTACTAGTGAAATGTTTATTTGTTTATTTGGACTTCGAAAGACGACGCATTTGTTCACCAGGACAATATCAATAAATCATGTTACAGGATTGGTTGACAGGACAATAAGATATTATAATATGTTATACCTGATATTGTAAATTGTGACATATGGGGAAGAATATATATATCATGTTTGATTGGGTACCTTCTATTAACCGGAATTATTTAAAAATTCAGGATTTTAAGAAGCGATAAAAATAACCATTTTTGAGCAGTATGAATTAATTTTATTTTATTGAATAACTGTTTGTAAGAAGCTTCGAGTATAGATACTACATGCCTAACATCAAGTTGACTGATCAAAGCACTCATGAACAATAAAATGCTTCAGATTGTCATATTTGACAGAAAACCTAAGATGGAGGCCAAATCACATGACTGTTTCGAATACCTTTCTGCTGTCCGAAGTATTCAGTATAGAAATGCAACAGCTATTAGCTAACTTTAGTATAACACTACTTCCTGTTTAGAAAAAAAAATCTATGTTGGCGGTCAAACCACGTGACAAACCATTCAAAAGTTTGCAAATACTTTTGCCTAAATAACAAATTTCAGACCAAAGTTTTTTGCTGTTTGTCACCCATTTTCGAAATATTCAGTGTGACAAGAAGAGTTACGTAACTGCTAAAGTTTTTATTCGTGAAATACCCCAGTAGTGTTATAAACAAATCAGAAAGCCCATATACGCATGGGTTAAAATGACCACTGTTGGGTTGTCAAGATGATCGATATGGTATTGAATTCACATAATTGTCCGATTAATCGTCGTTTCTTAAATTTGAATAAGTAAATAATCCATTGAAAAATGACATCCGTTAGTAGACCTGAACAAAACCATTCAGCTCAGATTAATGGATTTTGACTGTAATTTGAAATCATAGATGAAACAACTACCATCTACAGAAAATAACAGGTAAGCTACATTTACAGGCCTACATAAAAACATAAACAAACAAAGACACAAACAAACAAACAAACAATAGCTTTATACATCTTCAATCCTACACACATGACATTTATAAAATATGTCACCTTTAAATTTGTCCGCATCGCTATGTCACTGTAGTTAATTTTCCACACTGTTTCCAGAAGAGCTGCTTCAAATTTTTGCCTCCGATACACAATAAACACAAGTATAGAAGCGATGAATGCTACAACCATTGATGCGACAACGGCTATTACGAGATTTGTCAAATCTGAAAAACAAACACAAAAACACCTGAATATTAAAGACAAACACTAACAATTTCTCCAAATCCCCATGCCACACAAACCAGGTATGTGAACACACTGATGAGAACTTACTTTTCTCCGGTTCTATGCAAAACTCTCCTTGGAAACCACATGTCGGTACTGACAGTGGAGGCTCATCTTTCCCAGAAGGCCAAGCTATCTTTGTACCAGTAAACAGCCGAAGCGTACTTGTGGCACTATCAAACAAACCGGCCTTGATAAAAATACCATCGATAGCATCAAAACTGAGAAGCCGAAAATCGTGATTTCGATCTCCATTTTCATCTATTGTAATACGACCCGTAATGCCTATGAACAGATAATCCGATGAAATAAGAAAAGGTTACATATGTTTGTGTTTGTCTTAAAACAAAGATGATGTAATAATATAATAATCCAAAGTCGTTATAGAGAGATAGGGGGGATTTGTCAATCAGTGGAAATGGTACATATAAATGATCACAACATATTGTACAAGCAGTAATTTGTATATAATCCCAGTATTTAGTATTTAGCATACCTTGGAAGTCAACTCGTTGCATTTCTTTGAAGAAATTTCTTCCATCGTAAGGCTCACCTCCATTACTACGCACTTGATGTAGAGCGTGTGCATACAGAAAAATGGCGTCATACAAATATGCCGCCGCCAGATGGACCTAAGACATATAAATAATAAATTAACAACCAGAGGCACTCAATTCTTTCGATCGAATAAAACACTATAAATACACTTTGTGGCCGAATTCTACAAATCGCACCATCTTCTATGACGTCAAAAGGCAATGTTGATTGTTGTGGCACTCGGTTTTATAGAAAAGATGTATTCTGATTATTTGTTTAAATCGTAGTACTTTCACTCTCACAAAGATCCAATCCTGATGATGATGAGTGATTTATCGGCTGCTTTATTTTTTATATTTGTGGAATTATTTTGTCATGTTTTTTTAAAACTTTTTCTTCGTTTACAACATATTGCAAACGATTCTGTATTGTTTTCGGGAACTGTATGGCTTTAAGAACATTTACAAGTACCCTTTCCGAATATGACTATGAGGGGCTGTAAGGGGGTATTTTCGTGTGCCGTAATCAATTGATTTTATTCTTGTAATAATAAAATAATAATAACAAACGTAAATTCGTAGACATGGGCAAGGTCTAAAATGTAATCAGCTATTTTATTCGTCCGTAATTTGTACAAAGATCTTATTTCTCGTAAGCGTATAAAGCATTTTCCACATTAAATGTCGCAATTCTTACGCAATTTCAAATTTTGATTCTTAAACATAAATTATCAAATATATTATAAAAATGTAAAATCTAATTAGAAATTTTGCTATATCTGTAAAGTGTAAATATCTATTTGTTATTGTAAATGAAACTTTTATTTTATTTCTTGTAAAAACATTAACGTTAAATGCCTTTTTTATTTCCTGTAACCTGTACCAGCTACCCCCTTGCCCCTTTCGACTATCAATATCAAAACTTACCCCAGAAATATCCGACATATTAATAAACCATGGCGCTTCCAAAAAACTTTCCTTAACCTCGATGGCGAATTCATTGAAGACGTCCTCTTCTGGAGCTATCATTTCTAGCACAAGCAAAGACCTTAATGCCATCGCCATATCCTCAACACGGGCGATCACGTCTGTTTGCCACGCTGTACCCTAGTGGTTTTGGTAAAACAGATATTAACACTGTTATCTATTGAATTCAGAGAAATTGTTTAGCATGTTATTCAATATTTAAACTTTCGTTGACAAGAGGATTTTATGTAAACTTTCAACGATATAATTTTAACCTCGAGAATTATGGTGCAAAATGTTGTGAAAGTAGGCATTCAACTAGTTAATTAATTAGATACGAATGCAGGCCGAGAAAGATTACTCGTCGCGGTTATAAATTCTGACGCGACATAATTTATGGAGGCTGTTGGGAAAAACGACAGACTTAAAACATGTATTGTTCAATGCGTGAATACAGTACACATACGCATGAGCTTTGGCCTTGCGGAATTTGTAATCAGTGCTCTCATTCTATTCACATAGTGGAATTATGGTTGGTGAACCCTATACCCAAGAGCTGCAGCTGTTATGATCAACTTATGAATATCCATGATCTAAAACACTCTCATGCCCAACAACCAATGACCAATATCGTGTTCCGATATAACCATGAGTTCAAAACCAGCCTTGGTGCGTTCTTCTCGTGACAGCAACACTTATACGGCGTATTCAATTCGAAGGACAAATTTTGAGAAGTAATAGTTCCGGCTTTAGAACCGAGTCAATGGCGGCGATATCACTTAAGCAATAAATTCCATTCCATAAACAGTGATAATTTTCACAAAGTCTTGAATTATGTGCCGATACAATACACAACATACAAAATGTATCTATCGACTCACCTCATAATCACCCATTGTTAGTCGCTCCACTGTTATAAACATATACTCTCCATTGAGATACCCTCTGTCGTATGCAAGTAGCATATAGTTACGCACTTGTTCAGAATTCATTATTAAAATAATTACTATAAAAGCAAATTTGAGCAATTGATCAAGACTGTTATCATATCATTATATCTTTGTGCGATGAATTTACAACAACATTTCGATAATTATTGTTTCAATTTCAATGAATAGTGAGTGAAAACCACTCATAAAATATTTATTCATGTTTTTTTTATTATTAACTACTGAATAATAATAACTAATTAATATGCATAACTTTTACTGACATTATGGTGCTTCTAGTAGTGAATAATATATCAATATTTATTTATGTATAAATTCCATATCTAATCTCTCATTACAATATGCATACTAGATTAACATAGTACCATTTTTATTGGGCACATTGTTGATATTACTCACTCAAATCATGCATGTTCTACATCGAAATAAATAGGGGGATTTATAAATTAACGCGATTATTGTCAGGAGTTTGGGACGATTCAATAAATTTTGTTAATATAATTGCGGGTCTGTATTGCAGTAGTTTGTGCACAGGCAGGGAATGTTTACATTAACATTGCACATGTTTGTTTTTCAACAAACAGTGTCGTATTTATTCAATTTAATTGTACAATATTTTAATTGTATCAGTACTTACTATGCTTTATTTGTTTTAGACATTGGAGTTTCGTATTCAGCCCATTAACTTCACGCTATATAAGGTTTTTTCTTTTGGGGGGGGCAGTGCAATGTGGTATAACGGAACTTGCATTTGCTTAAACTGGCGAAGCGCATTTGCAGAGTTGTAAGATCGGAACTTGAGTTTCATGTTTATATATTCGTATGCGTGCCTGTAATTTCTATTATTACCCTTAGATGTTTTCACTGCATGGTTGACATATTTGTCCCCGAGGAAGTTTGTAACTGGGTAGGTAGTCATTGTAATTGCTTAATAACTACTCGCCATATCGAGCTTTTTTTGGAAATGCCATTTTACATAATTCGTCAATTCGAAACTCGTGCTTCATGATTAATGTTTGTCTCTGTGCATGTAATTTCGAAAATTCAAGGTTATGGTGCTCATACATTTCACATTATTGTTACAGATATTTACAAATAAGGATAAACAACATGAGCCATACACCTGAACTGTTTTACCACGTTGTTGTTGGCAATAATATACACTTCTAATTGAAAGTAGGCCGGTTTGAAGATTCTGGGGCGGATCTAGGATTCTGGAATAGGCGGGGGGGGGGCGATAAGTTGGCCGAAGGCAAAGTTCGCAAGCGCCGATGGCGTGTAGCCCTGTTGGTTGTTAAAAATAGGGGGACCGCGGGACACGCATTTTGGAGATGGTACGCAATACACAGCTAGACAACCCACCACTAACTTTGAACTGAGCACGTCACAAACAACCCACTCATTATCAGGAAGGTTACGAAGCATGTACAGTCCCGCGGGGAAAGTTTCAATTATGGAGAATGTTTACAAGTCGATTTAATGGTGTAAGACAGTTGAGCAAAGAAAGCAGTGGCATAATGTGGTAGAACAGTAGTCATACTGACACGCTGTGAAGGCATTGTTCTTCCGACGTGACTTATCTGATGTGAAACATTTAAAGTATCTGGAATGTGTTGTCATCATTGTCGTGTTATGGGGAGTATGTCTTGTTTGATGAAATTGTGCATGTTGTTATTTTCAATGTCAGTAGTTTCACGCCAACAGTTAAATGTTTTGTTGTCTTAGTATAGTTAGTTGGCTTCCCAAATTTGGCAGTGCACCACAAGGTTTAGAGACATGTCCAGATAGTAGAGAAGAAATGAACTCTAATTTTCAGTATTTAATTTTTTTGTATGTTTTATGAATTGATTGGAAAGGTGCAGAAGAAACTGTTTTTATTGGTGTGCATTTCAAAATGGGTGTAGCGGGTGCGAGAAAGGTACGATTGATGCATAGAATAAACTTGATTCTGTAATATCGTTTTTGCGAAAGTGTATGTACACTTAGTAGCAACAGTGTACTGATCATAGCATGGTATTTGCGTTGCCTGGAAATATGTTGACCACAAGATGTGCTCGTTTGGGACGGGGTTTTGAAGGTAACCAACATTTTAGATTATTAATATATCCAGAGTAATGTTCTGGAAGTGTAAACTAACTCAAATGATGTGTGTGGTAGATTGTTTTATTGATTGTGGATTGAGCTATAAGTAGATATAATGGACATTGCTGTAATTATTAAATAGGGTCTCATGTCACAAACTGTTTTGGAATGCCATGCATTGCTAAAACCAATTCACCACGTTAAAACGCATGAATAGAATAAAAGTTGCAGCAGGCATTTCGGGACATCGAGATCGACTGAACAGCTGTTGACGTTCGGTAAATATAACTTATATTATAGCCTGCTGTTGTACAACAGTCCTTATAATAAGCTGCAACAAATATCAGTAAATAAATAGTTATCTTATACAGAGGCAATTATATGCATATTTAACAAAAAAATAATCCGGCTGAAATAAGTTAAAAATGTAATTATGTTGCAGACACCTGATTGTACTTTCATGGTAATCAAAAAGCTGACATATGAGAAATAATAACTTACCCCTTGCTTTTTTAATCATATCATCAAGCCTTTCTTCATGAACTGACGCGTCCCATGGATTAAAGCGATTTATTTCTACAGTAATATTTGTTTTTATTATCTCCATCTCTATTGCGTCAATGACTAAGGACGAGTGACCGGTAAAACCGCCGCCAAACAGGCCAATATGCTTCCATCCAAACGCTTCTATGGTTTTGATGACAGCCCAGGCAGTTTTGGAATATGGCGATGACGTACGACTGTACGTATCATACAGGTGTTGAGACGATAATTCAGATGCAGATGAAAAGTGGCCAACCATGGGAACGTTCCACTGAGACGCTAAGAGCCCCGCTGCCGTCGATGCAAATGTGCAGTCAGGTCCTATCACAGCAGCAACGTGGTCATCACGAATGAGTGTTACCATTCTATCCAAAGACACTCTGCCGTCACAACCACTGTCATAATATATGAAGTCCAGCGTATCGTTAGGAAGCATGTTCGGATCATTGTGGATGTGTTTTAACGCCACATTAGCTGCAGCGCCAATTCTATCAACTCTGAATGGGAGATAGTATCGTGTCGTGATGAGTAAGCCGAATGTGTAGTTGTGGGCACAGACTGAATTCAACTCAACAAGTAACCATGTGATAAGATGGAACAGAGTTGTCATTTTTGTTTGGCATCGACAACGTCAATTCTGTGGGTAACAACGTAAAGGCAAATATTCAAAACTGTGCATTATTTTGTCGTTAATATAATAACGCTTTGGCTTATTCCAAACAAAACTTCTGTGTTGATAATTCACCATGAACATTCAACAACCAACTAATGATAAATTATAATGATTTTCTTGCGACTGACTCATTTATGAACCGACAGTAAATTCTAACTAAATCTGTTGTAACGTGAATTGGTCTGATATACTCCTAGTTGTATATACAATTATTCGAATACAGAAGCTATTTTGAAGACCCAGACAACATATTTATACGGAATTACAGTGAACATTTAAAATTTTTGGAATGACGGCATTTATGGTGTCAGTTGCTTTGATATAATCATGGTGAGAATGAAGTACTGCCACGTCATCATAGATTTGCTTGGAATATTTTGGTATAATATTGATGTTAATTCGGTGTGATTCTGTATTATTTGCCAATAGAGAATATATATAAATATATTGCCAATATATATATAAACTCCCATCTTAAATCAACTAAGGGCGCTGTGTTATACATCTTGTAAATGATACTATACACACCTGCAGTCAATGACGTACTTAGTATCTCAAACAGGTAAGGGTATACTTGTTAGAGTAATAGAACCAGTGGGTACATTATAAAATTTCCGTGTCGTGTTACAACTATGAGCCTGCAGCCTTACAAGGCGCTATATACATATACTATATACTGTCGAAGCCCGAATGAAACGGCGTGCATAGATCTTTGATAACTGGCTTTTGAACAATTTCAAGTTTATAGTATAAATATTCGTAAGCTGGTCATTATGCAACGGTTAAAGTATTCCCCTGCAAATTTTAAAATTGTATGGCAGGAAAAGTTACATACACCGAAAGGTTCATGAATAACGCATACATGTAAATCTGTTAAATAAAGGAGGACAAAAGATAGAGTAATATATCACAGTCGTTAATTGTAGAAGATCAAGGAATATGCAGCGACTCGGTGTGCCAAGAGGGTAAGATAACACTACCAACAGGCAACACTAATTCGGAGTGGTTCTAAACGTTATATAAACACTACCGGGATGCAGTCATCTTTTCATTTCATCCTGGAATTCCAGTTGAGAATAAGTTAAGTTATCCAAATATTGCTACTGTCTGGCGAATGCCCTACGACATTAAGTAACTTCAAGTGTAGTAATCATAGTGGAAACACGGAACGCGACAATAAGAGACATAACTATAATTATAGCAAGTTATTAATAACAATCATTGATTCCCACGAAGAGGAGGGGATGAGATTGTTTACAAATACTAGTGGTGTTATGTGTGAAATTCAAATCTCTTCGACGACATGGTCTAGATCTGTTGTGATGAAAAAGGCAGTAGCCAAGTAGTAGTAGAAATAGCTTTGGATGAAACAATTCTTTGATTATCGAGCATAGCAAGCATTGTGAATATTCAAATTCGTGGGTTCGTTAATATGAATATGCAAATTCAACTGTTAATTACACGGCGTCGCAAGAGTTAATAATAAATGTGTTACTTACGTTGATGACAGTGAAGGACAAGGATGTTACCAGTCACAGCAACAAGTATGAGACTGTGAGTCAGCTCAGTGAAGAGGTAAAGAAGTAGGTATCCGTGTTGCCTGGCAACATGCTGAATTACCACGTGATCAAGCTTTGATTTTCCATGCAGCGAGGCACGTCGTTATACATAACGACTAAAGCATTACTATCGAACGTCTATTGTGTGTCAATTGTGTAATTGTATGGCTTCTTCGGTCCCTATGTTACCACTATATGCCAGCGTGCTAACAAACCTACCAACCAACCAACCAACCAACCAACCAACCAACCAGCCAGCCAGGTGCCAATCCAGATAATACATTAATTATGGTAGTATTATATGAGATTGGAAAATTAACAATAATTTCACCGACATGAATCGACGATACGTTTAACCCACAATTCTGATGTTGATGTGACTGTTACATGTTAGTAAAAACTGATATTGGTTGAAATGAGATATAGTAAGAGATATTAGTATATTAATAAGTATTATTATACATCCGTCACCGTAACGCCATAAGTTATTGCACTGGGTATTTTCGTCCTATCATCTTAGGAAACGCGTATTCTAAATATGGAACGATAACGCGCGCAAGTATCCTATAATAATTAAAAAACAAACATGGCTTTCTCAGGATTTGACCGGACCCCACACAAAAAAGTTCGCTAAATCTGTTCTAAACGTTTTGGATTTCGGCATTCCCATGATGTATTCCTGGGAGGAAAAGATTTATATTAATACGGTTATTACGAGCATACTGCAATGTATGCACTCAGGCAGTTCGCGATCGCAATCGCCTCTGTCGATACTCCCGCTGTATTGTCTTCGTGCATACTTTGCAGTATCCTCGGAATAACCTCAAAGTATATCAAGGACTTGGAATGATTTTTATACAAGATTGGAAGGTAGAAAAGATGGTTGTATAAAAGTTTTAGATGCGCGATGGACCAAAGTGATTGATGATTTGTAATCACAAAACACAGTTAATAAAATCGGCAGAATTGTTGTTGAATATATAAGTACCAAACAACTAGAATTGGGATAACAATATTATATGTTGTACCCTGCACATATAAAACTAGTACGAACAAATCAGAGAACGTTTTACAGAACAGTTTCACGTAGAACTATTTATTTTTAAACTTATTCGAAGCATACTTAATTCTGGAAAATGTTGTTACTAGGCGGAGTGGTTTTAAATGCGACATTATGTTTTCTTTAGAAAAACATATTTTGTGATTGGTATAGAAATGTGTGTAAACCGGTCTTTATTTCTGCTAACTAAGATAACTTATAGCAAATTTAGCATCAGTCTAATGATTTGTAGTCCCGAGTTTATTGCCTTGGATTTAACGCCAAAAAAGATCGACCCCCTCCCATCCTTGGCTAGTACTCCACAGACTCAAAGAAAAAGCCACCGGCCGGGATTCATTAGCGGAGGCGACTTAGATGGAACACTGTTTAAGGACCGCAGGTTTTTGTAAATGACCGGAACTGGATGACTCAATCTTCCATTTGATAGAGAGATGGCCGCAGAGTCCTGTCACATAGTCTCAAACATAACTACGGTTTTTGTGTCTAATATGCACTATATGTCAGCACTTTGAATATAAAACAAGTCAGAAGATACTATAGTGACATCCAATGTCCGAAACTATAGAATAATTGATCGAATGATATTTATTTATCTCACATTTTTAACTGTCAGTCAACACTTGTACACACTGAAACATATTTCCTTAGCATATCTGCAGTTTCAAATATCATCACCATTCACTATACCGTATACTATATACGAAAATGAAGTTTTCATCCAACTCGTATTCATAGGATATTGTTGTGTTGTCGACCGTGTCGAATTTCGTCGTCACTCCATATACAGTAGTTTCTAACCGATACGAAAATAGCGTATTCATCCGATATTTGGAGATTGAGGCTACTGCCGTTTATGTGACCAGAGAAGTCGTTGGAGTTTCCTTTTAAAACACAGTCGCGAAAATACAGCTATATTCAGTATTTCGAAAGCGTGTACATTCACAAAACGCATACAAAATGATTGAATGTAATTCAAAATGTTAGTTCTGAACACTTTGTCTCCCAAGTCTTGTCAGCGTGAAAAGGTTCGTTTCTGCTCGCTGTGTTAAGATGCAAAGGTTCCAGTTTGGGGTTTAGTGTAATATTTGTCATAATGATGATTCTTACCTATTTGACGAATACTCATTTATATATATTCACGAAAATTTAGAACTAGCATATATAAACAAGAATATTCGTATGGAAGTTCACAAAATTCTACGCAATGTGGTTAATACTACGGCAAATATTACTTGCTATACGACTCTTCGAATCGTCTCCATTCTTCTAACTATAACTTCTAACTATCGTATATCGTATCGTAACTGACAATATCCGCTAGATCTGGGAAGTTTCTTCGTTGATAACGAACTCGGTTTACTGGTCAGTTAGTTTTAAACCTAGGTTGTTCGACAATAACATTTTGTATTTACCGTGGCAATAACCTTGTAGTCAATCTCGCCTGGCTTTGTTCCTTGCGAAATAAAATATTTCCTTTTATGTCCACATATATTTTTTCATTTATTTCACCTTATAATTCAGATTGAATTGAGTGTTGGTTGATAAGTCGTGGCTTATTTTATGACATAGATTGGTAGTTAGTCATCGAGTAAATATTTCACGGTATACTGCAGACCTAATTTAATGGTAGTTAAAATTTCAGGTGACATTGTGTGCTCCATGACTAATGAAGTGAAGAACCCTGTGAAGGAAGACCTTCCAAATACACAATAGAACCAATGACACTGCTGTTAATTGTAGATGTATCTGTTGTTTACCTTGTACCAATGTCCTTAAATTACGCCTTTATGTAACCACTTGAACGTGAAAGCAAAGTTATTTTTCATTTAAAAAAAATGTTCAATATTGGTACATGGACAAGTCCCTTAAATCCCACCATCAATCGTTTCCCAAGCATACTTGATGCTAATTGAAGTCAACTCTGTATTGACATCACTCGTGGTGTGTTGTGTCCTCAGTAATTTCCATGGCTGATTCTGTTCAAAGCAAGTATACAAACAAGACATAATGGTATTCATGTTGACTTGTTTTCTATTCCAATGCCCTTTGCCACTCTATTTTGTTCCAAAGAAACTAGATATAAAGATGCTTTTATTAAAACTGGTAATAAATATCAATCATGGTATGTTACTAATGCAATTTATCTTTCGCGATTTTATTAAAAATGAACGACTTTTTAAATGGTTACACTTACAGACAAGACATAATGGGTAACATGATTTCTGAACCTATGCTGGTCATGCGCTGCTTGTGTAAAACTTGATATTCTATCATATTCACTTCAGTACGATATCATACCGAGTTTTGTCCGAGTTTCATTACAAAAACGTGTAATTATCTGGGTTCATGTCAGTGAGCAAAGTTAAATTGTGTTTTCCTCGGTTCGTTTCTTTCAGAAGAAAACTGACCCGTTGTGCGAGCTCATTATCAACATACATCGAAAGCTATACTGATTTTCGAAATCCCCGGAAATCTGTACACGTTCTCCCGACCGGACACCCGCTTGGTTCGCGGCTTTGCCACTCCAGTAATTTCAGACAGTGACATTACTAATAAATAATTACGATTCATCTTCTGTTGATTATCATCTAGACATTTACGTCATTTTGAATCAAATTGGCACGTTTATATTAGACTGTATGACAACAAATTGTCAATTTTACACTCCACATCATTAATTTGTCAAAACCTATTCACTGACTACTTACTTATAATTATTGTACTGGCTATTTCATAGCGACAGTCTTTCCTTCCAGCTATACAATACTGCAATTCTTTGCGTTGAATATACAGATAGCACATCATCGTGCGCCTTTAATTAATACGCATACCTTGCAGACATACGTTTGAGTACAGTGAGTTATAAAAAGAAATGCCACGAAACATCGTTGCTATCAGTATCAATTTCACTTCTTTGCATTAATTCCTTTCAAATCAAATGCAATACCTTCTGACGACAGTGATAGAAGCTAGTTATTACTACCGGGAGAAACTACACATTTTGACCCGTAATATATGCAGTTATTGCACATACCGTCAACCTGGAGGCATCTTACGACATCGTGAATTGATTTCTCAACAATGCAGTAATCTAAAGATCGAAAGATACTGAATAAAATTGTAATATTCTTTATGTTTAAAGTTTCGAAACATCAACATATTTCTGAAAATTAAACCAATACAAATGGCGTTACACTAAATGAAGAGTTTCCAATTCAAGACAGGATGAACAATACTATATTTAGGTTAACTGAGAGCTGTCTATTGAAGAAAAAGTATTGTCTAACGGGCGTGAATAAAAGTTTATTCGAGAGCTGGAGTTAAAGTGTAGGGGGTCTCCCTATTTAGTGTACGTATATGAATATAATCAGATTGAGAGAACAGGGACGCAGACAGACGATTTGTTTTTGTTATGTTATGTTACGTTGTGTTGCTTAATATTCATATAATTTCAATTGAGAGAGTTGGATGTAGCGGAGCTACAAATGGAAATAAAATTGTCTCCCAAAGGCACTAGGGAAAGGGAAATGTGAAGGACGGTATTCAGGAAACAGTTGGTATTGCCTCTATTTGATTAATCTCGATTGTACATAACCTAACACCTACTTCAGTCTAGTGGAAACTTAACATAAACAGCCACCCATGAATGTGCATATAGTGCTAGAAATAATAGGTAAACCAGACACGTAGATCAACACGACCAATAACGCACGAACGTCTCAGACTTGTTCTGTTCATGAGAGGCGCTTACGTTTTGATTAGATTTCGACCAATCAGATATGACGGAAAGATTTTTGAGAGTTCTCAGTTGTGTCTGGTTGTGTCGGTTCAAACACCCTGGAGAATGTCCATTCTTTCAAATAATTATGTGAAATATTCAAATGTTCAGTGAAATAAAGTATTAACTATTACATACCCTATTTGTCAGTGAGTTTTCTCGTATAATAGATTAATTTAATTAATAAACCAATTTTATTCACCCAACAAAATATTCACAAAATTACTACAACAAGCGCCCAAGATAACAATGACCTAACTGAACTGCAATAAGAAATTGCTAGAACCTAGCCAAAAAGCAAAATATGCACTTATCAAAAGTTGAATTTCATGCAGTTTAACGTAGAATTCAATGATTCAATATACAAATAAAATAATGAAACACATGGATCATGAAATAATTTGATCCACGTATTAAGTGTTTTAATACAACAATTAAACGATCTATTGTTGTTAGAATTATTTTTTATTAGACAAATTAAATAATGAAATACATGAATAGTGAATAAATACATAGTTTCACGTAAGAATGTATTCTTAATTTTGGCATGAATACAACGCTTTAATACATTGTGATAACCTATAAACGGGGGTGTTCTAAAAGAATGTCAATCTCTGGAACTCATAACTGAATAGTTGTAAACATGCGTATATAAAAATGTATTCATTGTCCCGTTTAGGTTAACTCTTGGTGTGTGAATTACATTTATATGATTAGTTATAATTCCCCAAAATTAGAATCACAAGATGCTGAAATATTACAACCCAACTTCTTCATTATATTCACTGGCACTATTATATTATTTGAAAGTGGGATATTACACAAACTCCCGTACACGCGTTCTTGTGTCAACGTAGTTTTTCAAAAATAAATCACACTTAATTTGGAGAAACGTAAACAAACACTTTAATATATAACCAAATTGCCCTAGTACGAGGGTTGAGTGGGGTGTAACCAATGTATAACGCCAATTGTCATTGGAATAATAATGTTACAATTATAATAAAGTAACCCAATAACAGATTAAGGAACAATATATTTATAAAATATAGTTGATGGTACAAACTCCTTAATAGCCTGACCAAACTTCGTCTGTCAGTTTCTTGTCAACATCTTTGTTGCTTCATCGGTTGTTATGAAAATTCAAAACGCATAAAACGGTGATCCCCAGTAATATGGCACATCAGAATATTAGTAGGAACAATGTGACAGGGCGTGCATTCAGTAATAACTGAATAGCTGATCCAGGTTTCCAAAGGTCACGTGGTTGATTATCAAACCTGCAATGGCTATGTAAATATTATATCCGATCGTGAAATTGTGTAGAACATGAGTGTGCAATTCGGTACATGACGTCATTTTGAATATAATTATTCTTTTAAGGTATGATGCAGGTTCGGTTTTTTTATATTCAATGTTGGCTTCATACTGTTATTTTGGAGCTCTTCCGCAATTATTGAAACACTAACGCACCCATGATTGTTTATGTTTTAAAATGGGAATTATCTACGTTTTGGGTGAGTGGATTTCAAACTTAAATAGTATTCAGAGTTTTACGTTAATTATATTTGACAATTTCACTCTATGTAGGTGGTGTTTTTTTTGTGCGTTTTGTATTCAACCAGTGATAACAGAAGTGATAAATGCTTAAGTAGACATAATTACGAGGTTAACATCCTGCTCTAAGAGAACAAGACACGCTATTAACAATCCCAAATATACCCAAACAAGACACCAAAATAGTGTATTAAAACAATAATACAGGAGCTATTTAGGTTTGAACTTCCTCTTTTCAAAGGTAATACTAAAATGTAGAGAGTGGAAAATTTTGAAAATTGTATTTTAGTTCTGTATTAAATTTTTCTTGTGGTAGAGCTTCTACATGTTAACGTTTTGAAGTTCATCATCTAAAACAAAATACAGAAAACAAATTACAGGGCGGCGAATGCCCACATAGCTTAACAATTGTTCGATCTTCACAATAAGCCTTGCACTATACGAACCCCTCACCTACCAACGCCTTAACCCCCAATTACACTTGTGTTATATGTAATTCAACTATACCAGTCTACCATTTTACGCTAATTTTACGTATTAATTATAATATTAGGAAACGATTATTTAAATATTATTGCTATTTGTTATCCACATTTCGTGAATGTTCACAACCACTACTGTACACATTTTTAAATTAAATGGTAGTGTCCGAAAAAATCCACTTTATTATGGGGGTACGAATATGATACGGTATCTACCCTGTTCCATAATGAAAAAGCCTTACAATGTATATATACGGTTCATGTGTTACATAACTAATTGTGTCTTGTGATAAATACACTATCTAGAACACCATATATATTACTGTAACAGTTCGTATGCGACTCGACTGAATGTAAACAATAACAACCGAATATTCACACGATGTATCACTGCTGCTAAATACACACATTAAAGTCATGATATAGTACTGTAACTGTGTAAAGTGAGCTTTTACTATTATAAACATGGGTTGAGCAAAATTATATCACGTACACATATAACTAGGTTTTCTTTCTGGTCAACCAATATGTCATCAGAATGCCTTTACCCTGAAAGTAAACAGAAAAAAGTCATACGATCATGTTTCACAAAAATATTTCAAATTACAATAATAGAGCGACTCAATGTTAAATCCAGTATTGCGAACATTCCATAATTTACCTTCATATGAACCTCGCCCCTTTGTTTACATACATATCCACCATGTACACTTAGAGCTTTTACTACCTCTTCACTGACGTGGATACGGAGAGCTGTAATATAGACAACATATTTAGATGATATTCACTCTAAAAGTTCACCTTGACTGACTTACATATCGCAAAAAAACACACACAAAAAAAACACGTAGAGATCATATTACAATCACACTTTCAAAAGACAGCATTGATTTTGAAAGGCAGTGCTATTTTACATGAACACAAATCCAATATGTTCAGAGTATTGTCACAGGAGTTGAAAGTTCCATGACTAAACCTGATGCCACTACACCACTGATGGTAACATTTGAACTGTTGATCCAGCTGAAAACTCTCTCTTAATTAATGTGACCGTCTACAATTTCAAAACCAGTTGATATTCGCTAAATTCCCACTTACTAATCCGTGGCTTGGTTATTCTTGTTTTACAATAAAACACTTCGTAATACAAGCATGCAAAAAGTTGAAATTGAGAGGTTAACATTTGCGTGTTTTGATCACGTGACTTGATAAAATTATAGTTGTAGTATAAAGCACCTAACCTGAAATGTCGACAATCCTCGAACCTAATATAATTGTGTTTCCTAGACATTCGAACGCCGAAGGCGTTTGATGGGAAATGCGAACCATTTCACTCGAGGGACTTTAGTCCCGAGAGACTGTCGCCGTCTGCAGGTTTCTAGTTGATATGAATAATTCATAGTTGATGTTGACCTTATAACATAATGTATGCACATACATTCTAAATGACCTCTTGAATGCGTTGGTTGTTCACGTTATGAACATGATGAATACAATCACTCCAACCAACATAGCAAAGAAAACTATTAAATCGCCTAGAACCAAGGAAACAACGTGCATTGTTTGTGGAAGTCAAATAGAAAATATAGAAAACAGGAAGAGACTGATTCGCGAGATCAACAGAACTACGACATGCGAAGAAATCGAATTTGTTGTGGCAGAGACGATCGATCTACATATTGTCAGTTCGTATGCGTGCAGAAAACTGTGAACTGAGAGCGTCGACTCTGCATAAAAATATGGATGAGTTCAGGAAGAAATTTCAACAAACTAAGCGAGAGGTATTGGAAAGGTCGCTGGCATTTTCCTCTAAGAGAATGGAAACTGAAAGTGGGGGATCTCTGGTTTCGAAACGAGTTTTTTTTGACAAGACAAATGTCAACACGGCACGCTGACGAACATATCTCCCCCTTCTATGTAGTTTGCGATAGTGTCTCGCTAGTATTCTTTGCAAGAAATATCATGGTAGTCTAAACGTTCCAGCACTTTTATAATGCATTTGTCAAGATTTTTTTGTGTCATGATATGAGAAATTGCTGTGGAAAGTGTCGCGATCGCGCGTATAGTACAGTCAAAACAAACTTCGCGTAAGTCGTGGGCGATCCTCGTAGCCAGCGACCCCTGACCCTTTTCACGATTGGCCACGATAAAATAATAGACATCTGCGCAACTATCATTTGCATATGAAATTACCCGGATCTGGTAAGAAATCTTACCAGTGAATTGCAGCACCAGACAGTTGATCGTGCCTAACGGCACTCCATACTTTCTGTCCCGGCGTTCGCAATTTATTTACGCCTATTACGTTTATACATAATATTTATTAATAATAACAGATAATATTAGGTACGACCGACTGTCGACAGTCTACACTCAACCATACACTGTGCATGTAATACATAAGTGAAGATATATAACCACGAAAGCTTGAATAATTATTAACCAAATAGATCTTATCGGGAATCACCGTGGAGCAAAATACGACATATTTTAAAATGTATTTCGACCTAAACACGAAACATTACATGGAACATATGGCTTGACGTTGAAACCTCAGTTTACTTGAAAAGGTTAGTCAGCATCTTGCATATAATATGCACATCCCACAATAAGCAACCGCTGCTATGTTGGGCATATGTGAGTACTAGTGCCGGATACTATGCAATAACCCACCTTCACCGTTTGACTCGAATCTAGACGCAGTATTGACCGTATCACCAAACAAGCAGTACCGAGGCATCGCTAACCCGACTACACCAGCCACACAAGGACCTATAAAACACAAGCCATGCATGACACAGTCTCCGTTAGTTATCAAATCTAAGTTATAAAGTTTTGTTTATTGTAATATACGGTAGAATACTTTATTTTAGCTGGAATTAATTTTCGCTGAAAAGACGTTGCTTTGTATGTATTTTGTTGAATGTAAAATAAAGAAAAAAAAGGTATATCCGCTGGCTTTTATTTTCATTGAATCATTCCTTCAGCTAAAATAGCAAACAATAATTCCAAGCAAAAATAAATTATTTTACAGTAGTACAAATACTTGTTCATATATTGCTCTGGAATAGCATGAACTAAAACAAAATGGCCTCCGATCAGCCATTTTGAATCGTATCGTCAAACCAATACATCTGTATATCTATTACATGATGTATAATGAATAAATATGAAATTTGATCATCAGTAAAAGCATTTAGAGATATGGAGTTGTAGGCGTGGCCTGTTCAGAATTTGTCAACAACCAATCTTAAGGCTGGTTACAAACCACATCGAGGTTACGACTCTGTTAGCCTTGCTCTACTGGTTCGTAACCAGTCTTGTGATTGGTTCTTCGTCTCCAACTGTGCCATGCGTTCGGGCCAACCGTTAGTTCCTCATAAATGGAGTCAATTTGTGTAGTTTCCTTGATTTATTCTGCAGATATAGGTAAAATATAGGTAAAGCTTTGGCGAAATTTTAAAGCGCAACTAATATTCTTCAACCTTGTATTTTTATAGATTTTATTTTTAGTTCTGTTCGTCTGTTTTTTCCAGTTTAAAAAATATGAGCTCACTGGAGCCTTCATCCCTTGTCTATTTCTTACACTAGATACCCCCTCTCCCCGCTCATAGGGAGTGCGTACAGTTGCGTATAGTTCCTGGGCTCCCTGTGGTTTGTCTTCAGTTGTTAACCAAAACAGGCAGACTTCCCAGCAATCAAATAGACTATGTTATCTTATATAATTTCCAGGATTGAACATTTATCGGCAAACAGATTGGATGACGCTATCTGGCGACATTACGCCATCAATTTAGTCATTTAGTGACTTGACAATATAAGTTTTCAACAAATACAGTATATTATACACTTATGTATCAATACATAACTATATAATTGTGTATTACATGCAGCAAAGCGTATTTCTGTTCTATTGTTGTTTCGCGTAAATGTAATGTCCTCGACAAGTTTATCGGTCTTAGTGAATGTACGTTAGTCCCAAGTAGTTCGCTTGGCGTTTATCAACGGAATGTGTAACGACGGTGGATTCAGTGTCTGTTTAATTTAGTGCGACTATAGTGGAATGTAGCTTTAAATCGTTAATACAGATAATCCTTACAAAATAATACATTTTTGCAAGGCAGAGCTTGCCAACTGTACACATGATAGCAACGCCCACTGACAAATTGTGTCTACAAATAATAAATTCTCCAATTCGTGATATCAGATGTATTAAACTCGCGCAGCAATTGTCAATATTCCATGGTCATTGGAAACTGTTGAACCCACAACACGAGTGTAATAAATCCGAAATCACATGATCACGAAGTGAATATCATGTATATATCGAAACAATAGACTCACCTGTATGTATACCTATCCGTAGTTTTAATTTTTCATTCGGCATGTGTGGAATTTTGAAGGACTGAATGGAACTTAATAACGCCAATGCCATAGTTGCTATTTCACCAGCGTGTTTATTCCCATTACGTATCGGTAATCCACTGACCACCATGTATGCGTCGCCAATAGTTTCTACCTGATTAAATGCAAAAATCAGAAATTAAAATCAGAAATGCAAAAACAAAAAATCAGTTTGCTGAACGATGTCTATATTTTGACGTGCGAAAAGGAATTACGGGTACAGTTGGCGATTGCGTATGAAGACTGACAATTGTGGGCGGTGAGATAAGAAATGTTTACATAATTTACCTTGTAAACGTCACAACTTTCGATAATTCCATCGAACAGGGAGTATAACGAATTCAATAGTTGAACTACCTGTAGGTGGAATCAGTATAATTATATATCGAAATTCCTAAGGAGTTAGCAAAAACATGGTTGTCGAATATGGGAAAAAAGCAACAACAAATCACTGGACATGAATGCAAGACGTTGAGCAACAAATAGTTAGGACAACATTCAATTGTCGTAATTAAATGCGTATTAAGTATTAATTAGTTACATACAAACACAGAAAGAAAACATAGATGTAACTAATCTATTAACTTACATACTTATGCAGCCAGCTACAAAGTCATCGCAATATCTCCAAGTGAAAAGAGTGCATACACGTACCTGCATTGGATCACTGGACGCGGATATTGCAGTGAAACCTACAATATCAGAAAAGAATATAGTAACAGAATCAAATGTCTCTGCTTCTACTGGGTTGCCATTCTTTAGTTTCTCTGCCACTGATCTGTACAAATAAAGATTATGAAATGAATTTATCATGATGGGGTAAACGTATAACGTACGACAACATATATGTATGATTGCAAAATAACAATCATTTAGTTAAAATGTTGGGTTTTCCTCAGAGTGGTATAAATTATCACTCACTGTCTTAATTAAGTGTACAAACGAATATTTTTGAACATAACCTTCCGAACATTACAATGGTTATGACCACGCCGTATTCACAATACACAGACTAAAAGCATACACTGTTACCCACTCGTGCAAGTCACTAAGCAAATTTTGAAAATACCTACTAACCGTGGCAACATGCGATATAATAGTTGTTCCGTTCTCTTTTTTTCCTCCGTTAATTGAGAAGTTCGGTCAGCGACTATTTCTTCCAAGTTGTGTGCATATTTCTCCATCATGGTAACCATGTTGTCCATTATATTTACACTTCTGAATGTGGAAAAAGATAGTAATATCTGATGTGCTCGGTACGTTACAGTTTTCCCACGAATGGGAGAGGGGTCGATCAACCAACTTGTTGTTGCAAATGCGTGTAGCTTAATTTTTTAGTCAACTTGTCTTTTTCGAATTCCTATGAATACAGAAATGTCGACAGAGGTATCAACGTGTTCCCATAATGCCTTTGTCATCCGCCTGTAGAACTTCAAGTTGATTTATTCTCTCAGTAGCAACTGCGCGTAATAATATATTTTTAAAAATGTATCCGTTAAATCAAATGCATCAATACATGTGTTAGACATTATTGATAGCTTGCACCAAAGCGTAGGAGAGTGGGTACGGCCATTTATTAGGCTCCGAGGTAGTAAAAAACAAACGCTATGCATTTGTGATAGCGAAGTGCACCGTGTGGCGCGTCTGAATAGACAGTTTTTTGAATACGCCACTGACAGCGACTGATAACGAACCCTAAAAACGGTAGTTTAGATGAAGATGTATAATAGTAAGTTCAATAACAAAATAGCGAATGTTTGTTCACTGTACACTTCAACACAGCACGTCTCGATCAAAAACCTTCGATGTACGATGTAATTGGACATACATTTTGTTATTAACCTTATAATAAGGTTACCGAAGAACATGCCGTGAAATATATCTTAACATGCACAAATATAAGTAGTAACAAGGAACGACGTATACAAAATAAAACAGGTAATAATTGGTAGAATAGTTGGCTGACATGGGGTTGATCTGTATTCTAAGTATGCACAACATGCTCTTTTCAGACCGATACTTCTGTATGCGTGCTTACTTGTTCGGATTAATATTACGTAAGATCTGTCTTATATATGAGACATCACATCTCTTTTCCGGCACAGGATGCCAACATCGCTGTATCAAATTAGTCATTTCTTGTGGACAGGAATCACTCACAAACCCAGGGCGATATACTGTAGATGTTTTAATGTTCTTCACCCTTTCAATAATTTCTGAAAATTCAATAACAAATTTTTCATATTAACCAATCAGTTATGTGAATAAAATTAACTGAATTGTTATAATTACATAATTCTGTAACTATGTCATGCTACTACTTATGAAATACACTAAAGGTTAATTATTGGTTAACACGTGACAAACCTCGTGGTGACAAAGCAGTGTTACCATATACCCCATCTCTGTACACTATCTCGTGTAAGATAATGCCAATACTATAAATATCACCCTTTTGCGACATTGTTACAGTTGAATTGACAATATCTGTGTCTGGCAGATGTTCAGGAGCAGTCCATAACAATCCTAGAAATGAACAAGATATTTTGTGTGTAGAACAAGTATATTTTATATTTATACGCTTGTTTTATTGTTATTGTTCCCCGTCAATTACGTTCGACTTGTTGTATACAGTTATTTGCTTCACAGTACATATTCATCTCATTCACACGAAGATAATAAATGATTTACAAATTTTGACGGGATATTTCTCATCTTACCTTGATATGCAGCTTCTTCACTCACTTCTAATCGATATCTTTTATAATTTTTAAATTCCCAAAGACCAAAGTCTGTTAATTTTACAACCCAACGTCCATCTAATAAACAATTCGACGATTTTAAATTACCATGTACAGTCAATGGACTTTTATGAAGGAATTGAACACCCTGTGAAGAAAAAAAAATTCCACAATTAGTGAAATATTGGTGTAGTAACATCAGCTCAAATTATATTTTCTTTATCACTAAAGAAAATATAACTAGTTTCCTGATGATATAATGTTGTATACAAATAAATGCATGGTAATATTATTATAAGTTTCTAAAGACATTATTTGATAATCGAATGTTGGATTGGAATAAAACTTCGAACACACACTCGAATATACGAAACATTGTGGGGAAATTACCAAAACAAACATTCTTTTAGGTTGTCAAATTTAGGGAACAATGATGAGGGAATCAGTGTAGGCGAACTGGCGACACACGTCGGGAAAAGCGATGGGGGAATTCTTGACGTACATAAATGCACAAATTGATACAACATCGTGAATATATAAATAGTTTTATCCAGTACATGTATCTTTTTTGACGTGTGCCCAAAATGTTTTGTATGTTTCAAAAGATTTCCACCTTGTTTAAAATAGCGGCAAACGTGATTGCGTAAACTCTGAAAGTAGTCCAGTATATTTATATCATATAGTGTTCGTGATAAAAAATAAATTATGGTTAATTAGGGTTACATCCTATTCGAAAAATCCTTACCGCAGCTATATCATTTGCAAAGGACATTTTAAACAACCAATCCAAGGTGATTTCATCATTTTCAAGAACATCCTGAATAGAATATAAAATTAGATTATTGTGACGTAAATTGTAACTGGGAAGTACTTGGAAAAGGGAACAGAGCCCTGGATGTGTGTGTGGAAAGCACACATGTTTGGATACTTTGCCACAACTCATTGCACATGTTTATTTTTAGACTGCTGATACAGTAGCTGGATTGGGGTGTCAGCAAAATTTGATATACATACGTCCTGTTTCCCCTTTGGGATAATGGTATGTCCCAGATAGTGGTGTGGTGATTGTGAAATACTTTGGAATGTGCTGAGCCCAGTGTTGTTGGCAATGAAATAGATATGACATCATTGACCCGAGTCTCCTACTTTAAATTGGTAGAGCTTGGATTAGAGTGGTTTATTCACTACCAAAATTGGCATCTCTGTACACTGATTGTCGACTA